GGTATTGTCAGAACGAGATATTGCAGATGTAGTGTGGTACACGCATTATGCACCATCTTGAAGTTCAGTTTGACAAAGCAGGATGTTGAATGCTACTGTTCAATGTGATTTATGTAAAAAATAAAAATATTACAGGATAACACTGTTAACACAGATACACGTATTTGGTCATATTTTTAGATTTCCAATTAAAATATTCGAAAAAAAATATTATCGATAACATCACTATTGCAACAAAAGATAACACTGGGCTTAACAGCGGGAATAGGCCTACGTTTTTGTCTGTGACTAATTCTGGGGCCCGGCATGGCCAAGTTCAAATCCCCGTCACATCAAACATGCTAGCTCTTTCAGCCGTGGGGGCGTTATATGTGACGATCAATCCCACTATTCGTTGGTAAAATAGTAGCCCAAGAGTTGGCGGTGCGTGGTGATGACTAGCTGCCTTCCCTCTAGTCTTACACTGCTAAATTATGGACGGCTAGCGCAGATAGCCCTCGTGTAGCTTTGAGCGAAATCCATAACAAACTAACTAATTCCGATGAATAACTTGAGATTGAGAATGGAAAAAAAAAGCGTAATTTTTGGAACTGTTTTCTTCATTTGGGGCTGCTTATATTGTATTATATTTAACTAAATCTTAATAGAAAATTACAAAATGAGTTATCTGCGTTTTGTTACCAAGGTTAACAACCCCGGATTTTAGTGTTTAAGTCTAAAAAAACCTACCCCCGACCCACCCGGGGACTCACGGATAAAAACTGTAACTAATCTACTTTTCTAGTGTTAAACTAGTTTGTAAATAAAAGCAAACTAAGCTAAGGCATTCATATTTACACAGACTGTATTATTGCTCTGTGAACATCTAGGACTTGTCGTATACTAAATTATAAATAAGACGTCAGTTTATATGTGTCTATGTAATTTATAGTATTAGATTTAATTAATTCAATATATATTTTAGTTGTTTACAGTATTAGATAGATTTGATACATAATATTAAATCCCATAAATAGTAATAGCTATATTGGCCAAATGTGATAGGCATGGTACACGGACTTTTACATATGAGAAGTTAATTAGGCCTGACCGTTTTACTTTTAGGCGTTCTTTGGATAAAAGCTGAAAACACTTTACAGGGATGGTATCTAATTGATGACCTAAAACAGTGTTCATAGAGGCTTTTTGCAGTTGCCTGTCGCTCAAAATTAACACTAATTATTATTAACTAGCAGATGTATCCTTGCAACACCAAGTGAGAGATTTTTTTTGAAAGTTTTTTAATCGAAATATGTCGGTAGCAATACAAGGCCAGGGTTTTTTATTTTTATTTTTACGAAAATTTGCCAATGAAGCAAGGGATCAGATAAGGGGAAAAATAAAATAAGATTATGCTACCAGTTACTAACGTGCATGTAATTTAGGTGTCTACAAGGTATGTCAATTAGTTCCAATAATCTAGACACGTTGTCTCTAAAACCAACTAGTATAATTTCGGCGTTTAGTCTTGACATATTTAAGAAAAAAAAAATCTACGAAACATGTGATGCCTACCATCAGTGATTTACAAGAAGCACATTCGGGCTAAATAGGAGAGGGCGCTATATAAATGATAATTTTTATTATTATTTATTGCTACTATTTGTGCATGTCTTAATTTGAATTCGATTCTTAAGTTGTCAGTAGTTTTGTCAATGGTTTCATCCAAATTAATTTTTTGTATTGAATGCCTCACAATATCTGATTGTAATTAAACACAAAGCTACACAATGGGCTATCTGCGCTCTGCCCACAACGAGTATCGAAACCCGGATTCTAGCGCTGTAAGTCCACAAACATACCGTTGTGCCACTGGGGACTCTCACAATATCTATACTTTTCCTTATAATTACCAAGATCCATACCAGCATTTTGCACGCGACTCGCGAGATGCACTATTGTTTCATCCACTCCAAGCAGTGAAAAATACCATCATTGATCGTTTTTTTAATTTGCGAAATAATATAGTAAAAATATGCGCCCAAGATTGTGGCGTAAGGTTGAACGTAAAAATACATCTAGCACAAAGTTCTCGTCGTGTTACGTTATATATGTGTTGTCGCAATGTTCGATCATTTTATCATATCAATTTCGATTTTTTTTTAAGGAGCAAAATGCCGCCTCGGAAATTGAAGAAAAACGAAATCATATTATTATTTTTTTCTCGGAAACATGAAATCCCGCGAAATGCAAATTATATATATTTTCTTTCGCATATGAAATTTTGGAGTCGACCGAATCGTAAAACGAAAAATAAAATAATCCTGGCCTAAAGGTTGAAAGTACATCAGAATAAAATTAATCATGTCCACTGGGCTCCATTTTTTTCAATAATATTTTATTTTCTGTTTTAGTGTTTTTTAATCAAAAAAGTAATATGTAACCAGAGGTGTCTGAACGGCACCACAATTATATATTATTATATTACTTTTTTGTTGTACATATCCCTAGACCCCCCTAATACTTTCAATCTCTCATTTTAAAATCTGCATATCTAGCCAAGCACCCCCTACTTTGCAACTGCATCCTACACCCCTGGTAACACGTAACTTAAAAACATATCACTTAGTATAAGAACGTCTATCTGGAAAGTATGTATAAAAAATGTGTGAATAAGAAATCCGTCAAATGATTAATGGGCTTTAAATACGAAATGTATCTGTAGAATTAATATTTCACCAGTTATAAATATAAATAGTCTATATCTTTGTTTTGAATATGCCAGTAATGATTGAAATTATAAAGGCCTTATGTATACCCCATGTAATGAAAGAGGGAACTGGAGAAATCCCATGAATAGCCCTAATGGCCACCCCCACTGATTGATCTCTATATATGAAATGTATACATCTTAAAATCATTCCTAGTTGATTAAACCATCTTTGACAGGTCCAAAAACAATAGTCAGTGGACAAACAAACAAACAAACTTCTGTTAAATTATAGAAAAACTGTATTTTTAGCAACTTTCTTGTTGGAAGTTATCTAATAAAAAACACCTTAGGTGTGAGAAAAAAAAAGGTGCGTCCAAAAAAGAAGTGTGCACGCGAGTTAAAGGAGAGAAATCAAAATTGTCGGTCAAACTGGTAGCTACACTTATAACGTTAATAAGAATTTAACAGAAAATATTCATTCATTAGTTAGCTAGGCCGCGTATTTTGTTTTACCCACCATCATGCTCCAAGTTGAACGAAATACA